AAAAATTCCTTTGGTACTCATTGTAATGACATATTATTTATTTCACCACTGGCTGGTATGCTAGATTCTTGGCTATTTAGATGTTTTGACAAAATTCTGCACTAGTCCACAGAAAAACAAGTATATGTGCAATGTGTCACACAAAAGGAAACTCACAACTAAAAGGTGACTGTTGTAGTTTTACACAATAAAGTGTGATTATAACTATTCGTAACACAACCTTCATATTTGAAATATCCCTCAAGTGGTTTTATAAGATATCACAGAAACTAATAATTCAACCTAGATATTCCACAGCATAGCAGACAGCCGAGCTCCCAAGTCTGGACATTCTTCTCAGACTCTCTCAAGCCTCTGCTTCCTATATACTTGCTTTTATTCAACCATTAATTCAAACATTCAAGCAACTTCTATGTGTCAGAAACTGACTCAATACTACAAAAATGAATAAAACAAGAAAGACTTTGCATTCAAGGAATTCTAAGTCCAGTTAGATAAGACAAATTATTAAGTAGTTTATAATAGGAGAGGAAGAACAGCACAGTAGTTAAAGGTTGAGACTGGTCCGAATGACCTAAAAGCTAGCTTTTTTATTTGCTAGCTGTGTGACCTTGGATAATTTTCTTGATTTGCAAAATTGGAATAATGATAAAACTTACTTTCTGAGTTTACTGGGAGATTATGAGAAAACAGTGCATAACATAGTGTAGGCAGAGTAACAGAGTAAGTGCTGTGTGCTCTGTTAGCTGCACTATGGCTAGTAAAGTGCTATTACTGAAATATGACCAAAGTGCTATGGGAGCACAGGAAATAAAGCAATTAGCTATGCCTAGGGAAGATGTCAGAGGTGACATCAAATTGAGTCTGGGATGAGAAGGGATTTGTTAGAGAGAAGAGCATTCTAGACAGGTAAAACCATGCAAATGCAAGAATAATGAAGGAGCCTAAGATTTCCAGGTAACTACAGAAACCACATAACAGCAAGACGATGTGGAAAGATAAAATGAGATGGAGATGTTACAAGGGTACCAGATGGTTAAGAGTTTTACAAGCCAAGTTACTGAGTCTGGATCTTGAGACATCAGGAACCACAGGGAAAGTCACATCTTGGGAGAGATCCAAGGTTCAAATCTGAGTTTACTAAGTGTGTAGCTTCAATTTCTCTAAACTCAGGTTTTTCATCTTTAAAATGGGAGAAGCTGGGTGTGGTGGCTCATACCTGTAATTCCAGCACTGTAGGAGGCCAACGTTGAGAGAACCCCATCTCTACCAAAAATCAAAAAAACCTTTAAGAAAAAAAAAGGGAGATAACCACTACCTTGTTTGGAGAGTTATCTGGATTAGACAAATATCTCCAAAATGTCATGGCACCAGTCCTGGTATTAATATAGCTGGCAACAAACAGTAGCTGATACTACCCTCACCATATATCACAGTAGTCAACTTTTAAAGGTATAATGTTTAAGAAGAAGCTTATAGTACCCTAACTTAAGAGTGTCCAGTAGAAATACCATTCTCCTCTCCAATCTATTCTTTTACTGGAACAAATGAACAAAATGGACTTTTGTCTTATTTTCTTATCCTTTTATGATGCCAAGATAATAAACATGTACTCACTAATGTTTGGAAAACGGAATGGGATTACCTGCTAGACCCACAGACAGTGAAAACGAGCAAGAAGTCATAAATGACCAATTAAACCACTGGTTTAGAATCAATTAAACCAATGGTGGTAAGCCATTGGTTTTTTGTTTTGTTTTTTTAGACAGAGTCTCACTGTGTTACCCAGGCTGGAGTAGGTGGTGCAATCTTGGCTCACACAACAACTTCTGTCTCCTGGGTTCAAGCAATTCTCTTGACTCAGCAGCCTTCCCTCCCCAGTAGGTGGGACTACAGGCATGCGCCACTATGCTTGGCTAATTTTTGCATTTTTAGTAAAGACAGGGTTTTTGCCATGTTGGCCAGTCTGGTCACGAACACCTGACCTCAGGTTATTCACCTACCTCAGCCTCCTAAAGTGCTGGGATTACAGGCATGAACCACCATGCCTAACAACTATTTGTTTTTAATGCTGAGATGTTTCTGAAACAAAATTATAATATTTAATAAGCATATCAACTATTTCCTACCAGTTTTATTAACTGGTACAAAACACTGCCGTGTATTAAAGAACAATGTTTTGCATACTGGAGATAATACCAACACTCTATATACCACAATCCAAATACCACAGTATATATACCTTAAAGAGAGGCCAATCTATATACCACAGTAAACACAATACTATACAAGGAATCAGCCAGGCGCAATGGCGTGCACCTGTAGTATCAACTACTATGGAAGCAGAGGTGGGAGGATGGTATACACCCAGGAGTTCAAGTCCAGCTTGGGCAACGTAACAAAATTCCATGTCTTTTATTTAAAAAGAAAGAACAAGGGCTGGGCGCGGTGGCTCACGCCTGTAATACAAGCACTTTGGAGGCCAAGGCGGGTGGATCACCTGAGGTTGGGAGTTCAAGACCAGCCTGACCAACATGGTGAAACCCCCTTTTTTTTTTTTTTTTTTAAAAAAAGAACAAAAGAAGTCAAAAGATCAAAGTTCAAACTTCAGTTCTGCAGTAGGCAAAATAATTTATCTGGGCCTCAGTTTCCTCATCTACAAAATGGGGTTAGTACTTCTTCTATTTACTTCACTAAATTATTACAAGAGCCAGAAAGAACATCATACAAAAGGCATTTATTAAGCCATGACATTATACAACTATACCATTTTACCATTCTCATAACCAGGTCAGATTATCTTGTAACATCCTGGTGCCTCAGTTCCTTAATTTCCTTTCCTGTAATGATCCCACTCTCCATTCTGCCTTAACCATGTACTCTCATGGTCATTAACAATAATCTCAACCTGCTTCTATTAATATAACTGCTATATCCAACATTGTGTTCTACAACCACCACCTTCTATCTTTCTAGCTCATTTCCTCCAGTACTCCCACTCTTTCAAGTCTTAAACCCGGTAAGAATCTACAACCCATTTATCCTACCAATTTTTCACCCTCTCACTACCTTCACTGCTGCTCCACCCTCATTACCAAAGTCCTCATTCATGTCTTTACCAAACTTAAAATCACATGGTTCATTATTGCAATCACTCCTTGTATGCATCCTCTACTCCTTTGCCCCTATTCACATGCAATCACACCCTTCAAGATCCAGCTTAGCCGGGCGCGGTGGCTCAAGCCTGTAATCCCAGCACTTTGGGAGGCCGAGGCGGGTGGATCACGAGGTCAAGAGATCGAGACCATCCTGGTCAACATGGTGAAACCCCGT